GGTTTTCCAGAGGTCACAGTGGGGAAATTTGCCTTTCTGCACAGAATGTGTTATCCCTGGGTACTGTGCAGGGTATTTTGTGGGATTGCCTCCCTTTAATGCTGGTGGAAACCCCCGTGTGGAATCACTGCTAGTACATCACACACATGCGATTCTCTGTGTGCTCCAGCCTGTCAGTAGGGAAAAACCCTCCAAGCAGGAGGCCCTTAGTGTTAAGTGGGAGTGTTGGAAATGACACCGAGTTGAAAATATTTTTATATCGCTTTAGTCAGGGGTTTTGTTCGCCTTTGCCCCGGGGAAGGGAATTTTAACTTTGTTTTCTAAGGACTGTTTCAGCACTCATGGCCTGATGTCTCAACAGACTGGGAGCAGCACAAAAGGTACACAAAGTATAGCAACCATCAACGACCAAACAACACCCCTGGCATGGTCAGAGAAACCTGGTCCGAAAAAACTTGATGAGAGAATCAGGGAATGAGAACCTAATTAACATCAAAGGTGAAGAGATTGATAACCAATAGGAAACCAAATACTGAGAACTGTGTAACTTGGGGCCAGTGAACACTGAACCAATGAATTTCTATGGGTTTTGACTCTATAAGTGTGTGAAAAATCTAGTAAAATTGATGTGTGGTGGAGTGATTTCCTCTGCAAGGCTCGGGCCCTGTGTGGATGAAATGATTTCTGTTGCACATCCTGGCCAGAACAGCATCCTGGCCAGTATAAAGTATAATGCCTTGATTCTCCAACACTAAAAGTGTTGGTGAGTTTTTATTTTTCCTGCAGTTATGGAGACATCAGGGAGACAGCTCAAAATTACACATATTACAGACAAGTGAGAAACTCCTTCAGGGCCAGAGCACTGCCACCCATAGTTCATGACCACCAGCACAGAACAATGACACACATTCACTTGGAGGACAGGAAGAGTGACAGCCCGCAGAACCCTTGTGGCAATCATTTCTTTTACAAGCAGAACTCTCTAGAGGAGGGTCTTCTAGTTGAAGACTCTTATTTCAGTTGGAGTAAAACAAGCAGGATTACAAAACTTGGCCGCGTTAAAGCTGGGATAAGAAACTTCAGCGGGAATGAGAAAGCGAGGGGCGGCTCGGAGAGAACGGGATGGAGAAGGGATGATGCTCAGGGTGATGCTCACCCGGGATTTAGGTACCTGAGCCGCAAAACCTGGGCCATGAAGGTGACGGGGGGGCTCGGCAGGAGCGGGCAGAGCCCCAGCCCCGCTCCGCCCGCAGTGCGAGCAGCGGCCGCGTTGCGGAGCTGTTGCCCCGCGGTGGCGGCGCTCCGCACGGGAAAAAGGCAGGACAGGCAGGAAAGAGAGCCCGCCCGTGCCACGGCAAGAGGGGACGAGCGTCGCAGGCCATTGCCACGGGATCGATCGTGGATAACTTGCTCTCCTCCGGCCGCACGGGAGGGATCCCGGCGCAGCATCCCGTGCGCGCTGTCCCGGGCTCGGCAGCCGCACACGGGGCTGCGGGAGCCGGGAGGGCACTGCCCCCCATCCCGCCTCGCTCCACGTAAAGCAGGAAGGCGCTGAGGTCCTGCAAGGAGAGGGTGGCTGCAGCAGGCAGATTTACTGACTAAACCCCCTCCCTTTTTGGCCCAGAGTCCGGGGGCAAAGCCCTGGGTGGCATTTCCTGGGGTACCGCCGTCCCTCCTTGAGCAGCAGGTGTCGGGCACGCTGGGGAGGCGGCAGGAAAGCTGATGGTGGCAGGGCGTGATGAAAGCCAGGAGAGGAGTTTGGATGCTGAGGTGACTGGGAAGGGCTTGTCCCTCCCGAGGGACACTGTGGGCAAGCCCAAACCCAGCTGTACTAATATGGGCCATTTCATTCTCGCTGAAACCCTGGCTCTACAAAGCTTCATTCTTTGGCAGTGCTCGCTCCGTGCAAGGGTGTTTGCAGCCCAACAAGTCTTGCTCAGGTCTGCAGTAACTTGTGATGCAGGGAGGGCACCCTAATCTTGATCTGAAAAATTTAAACAAAACCTAAACTGCCTGGCTTCACCCCCTGGTAGTCCATTAAAAATGTGTACTGTGCTTCTCATTTTCCATGACCTGGATTTAGCTGTCAGCCCTTGCCTGGGGTTATTCCTCTCCCTGCTAGGTCCAGTCACCCTTCCTAGAGCAATAGAACTGTTTGCATTAGGGATGTGTTGCCGGCCAAAACCTCGGGCTCAAGTTTGTTTCCTTTGTGAAGAAACAATGTCTGTGCTGTTGGCTATCCCCGTCCCACTGAAAACCCCTCTTCCTACTCCTGCTGTGATGATGACAGGCTCCAACCTGGGGCAAATCCATGGGAACAGTGGTTTGGAGGGCAGTGGCCCAATGCTTTCACACTGGAAAAGCAGCATTTGCTGGAGAGAGTGAGGAGTTTTTACCTTGGCTCCGACCCACAGGCTTTCTTCAAAATATCCCTTTCACATGGAAATTGCTGCCAAGTGAAGATTGCTGGCTCTGGCTGGCATGTCAGCCACGGCAAGAGACACAAAGGTTCTGTATCAGTGGAAATACGTGACACAAAGGAAGGGGAAGGGTTTGTTTTGTGCTGGATACTGTCATCGGCCAGCAGCGTCTTTGTGGCAGGGCTGGGAGAAGGGGGAGTGGGTATCGGAAAAGAGAGCTAGATTTATTAACATTAATTCCAAATAATCAGTTTTCTGCTGAAGGCAGCAGCGCTGGTCTCAAATTTCCCTGCCTCAGAGTCACTTCTTGAGTCCCTTGCCTGCTCCATGGCCAAGAAAGCACACCTGCATTAACTCTGCTGCACGTAATTTATTGAGCCATTTTACCACAATGCTTTTTTTGTTCCCCATCTCCAGCAAAACAAGAGAAACTCCTAGCATGGCCATCCTACACGTTGGTTTTTAATCAGGATTCCACTGTGCAAACAAGGCAGGTGTGCTCTGAGGTACAGACCCTGTCTGCATTGTGACTGTCTTTGGAGATCGGCCTACGGTAAATTCCCAGATTTTTCTTGGAAATCAAATCATACTTTTGTGAAAGAAAGTTAAAGACAGAAAGGCACCACTTGGTCTCACCTTTCTTACCCCAACCAGACAATCAAGGACTGAGTACCAAAAGCATATTGCAAATTCCCCCCTGAGGTGTCTGATGTCTGCAACATCTCGCAGGAACCTTGACATTTTCTCACAAAAGGCAAGTTGTGTCTCAAGGGAAGAAATCCAGTCCGTGGTGGACTCTCACAGAGCACCTGACAGTGCAGAACTATTGCAGCATGAGCAAGGGTGAAAGTAAGAGTGATTCACCCCTTCTGAACCTGCTCGGAGATCCTGGGGATCTGGCATCACCAGCTGAACTTCTTTTTCTCTATGTATCTCTGTATTTTGTTGTACAGACATTTCCATCAGGTTATCAGGCTGGAGATGTTGCAGCACAGTTTCCTCCTCACCTTGCTTGAAAGGCCTTTTGAGAACTTCTGTTTTCTTAGCAACTTTCAAATGCTTGCTTTAAAATTTATTCATGAATTAGTGAAGGTGACAAAGAAGTGCAAGGTGCTGCACCTGGGATTTGGAAATTGCAGACATGAGAACCTCGGAGCCCCTTGCAGTGCCTGAAGAGGGCTTATATAAAAAAGGGAGATGGGCTTTTGCAGTGATAGGACAAAGAGAAATGGTTTTAAACTAAAATAAGAGAGATTTAGTTGGGTTATTAGAAAGAAATTCTTGACTGTGAGGGTGAGGAGGCCCTGGCACAGGGTGCCCAGAGAAGCTGTGGCTGCCCCTGGATCCCTGGAAGTGCCCAAGGCCAGGCTGGATGGGCTTGGAGCACCCTGGGATAGAGGAAGATGTCCCTGACCATGGCAGGGAGTGAAACTAGTTGAACTTCAAGGTTCACCCAAACCATTCCATGATTCCATGAAGTTATTACAGTGGGATTTCAATGGCAGGGAGTGAAACTAGCTGAACTTCAAGGTTCACCCAAACCATTCCATGATTCCATGAAGTTATTACAGTGGGATTTTGTGTACACATTGACTTAAAATGAAATGATTTATTCTCTCATTGAAATTTCTATTGTAATTTTATTTTTTTCTAAGCCATCCTGAACAGAAAGAAGAAGGCTTATATTGAAACTTTGGTATTTATGGTATAGTTTTCCTTTCTTCTCTCTGGAATACAAAGTGAATTTTATTCACATCTCACTTCAGTTCTGTGGATATCTGGAAATTTATGGGGAATGAAACCAGAGCTATTGAATTTCAGTGGATTTTACATATCTGTCAGCATCAGCTTCTGCTCTTTCCTACAGGTTTACATGGTGCTGTGTCTCCACGGGCAGCTTGCAACAAGAAACTCACCACACCTGAAACCCTCTTGATAAGGAAAGACAAATGCTAATGGGGTTGGTTCTTTTCCTCTTTTCTGCTTATTCTCTGCTTTTTGGAGCTCTCTGTTATCCTCATTTTTAGGCAAACATGCCTTACCCCATTTCTGTCACTCACATTTCCTTCCCTCTGTGCTGCTTACCTCCTTGTGAAGCCTTAAATATCTCTTTGTTACATCTCACTGTTCATTAGGATATTTAGGCATCTTCCAGCTGCTCCATCTGGGGTTTTTAATTGGAACAAGGATGCCTGAGGGTGAAAAGAGGAAAAGAGAAGATGAGGGAGCAACTAAGGTGTGGGTAGGGCAGAATACAGATTTTTCACAGCTGGGAGGGGAAGGAGCTCCCCTGCAAGCAAGCAAGAGGAGGGGAAAGAGATAGGAGGGAGCCAGGTGAAGAGAGTTTTGGAAACTCTGATTAGTTAATGTTTGTAAAGTGCTGTTCAGGTGGCAAAGTCAGCTGTGTATGCTAATCTACTAATCTGTGTTTTGTGGAGTGTCCTGGTTCATGAATCTTGGCTGATTAATCACAGCTGACTTGTCAATAGCAAGGGCTGATGGTAGTGTAATATAAAAATTAGGCAGCAAGGGATGTTAGGCTTTTCCTCTGTTCTGGAGCAGAAGGGGATTTTACTTTGAGGAACTTTTAGAAGATTCCCTGTTTGAGCAGAGAGAGCTCTTCCCCCAGCAGAAGGATCCCCTGGCTGACCCTGGTGTGCCCCCTGCCCTGGTGCAGAGAAGGTTGGTGAAAGTTCCTCTCTCATTTCTGTAATGTTTTATAGCAATATCAGGTGGAATAACAAAGAACCCTCAAACAACCCTGTCTCACTTCAGGTGGTATAAAAATCTCATCCCATGTGGTTTGTGGGAATTGAATACAGAGACTGGGGGAAAGCAGCAGGTGATGAAAACATTTTTGTGTGGCCCAATGGCCACAAAAATGGATACATTTTGTGTGTCCCACAGTCTGTGTGAGCTGGTCTTTCAGGTGTCCTCCTGGGCCTGGTATCCAGAACTGACATGATAATAGCAATGGTGGCCAGGGAGAGAGATTATTGCTAAAAGGAGCCTGTTTGGTCATTTTGAGAACTAGAGTTTGTTTGTGGTGGGGTATTGGAGCAGAAATTAGAAGCTGGTGGTGGTGTTGGATGGAGGGATGGAGTTAGTCCTTGCTGGCTTGGTCTTCATGATCATGGTGAAAGTTCTCTCAAAAGAGACCTGACAATGAAAGCTGTAGCAGCTTTTGTTCTCCCTGTGTCTGTGTCAGGCTTGTTGGCCTGAGCTAAGGTATTCTGAAATTATTTGGTGTTGGTGAGTGTAAGACTTTTTTTGGTTATTTGCCTTTTTTTGGAAATGGATATAGCCTCTGTTTGTGTTAGTGCTTTAGCACAGGTGGTGACCCTTCTGAAAAACCTCAGTGCCTCATGTCTGGTCTGCAAAAAGTCTTGGTGTTCTCTTCTCCCTGCTGCTCCCATACTTTGGTTTTTCTACTCCCTCTGTAACTGTACTTAGAAGTGGTGTTTATTGCTCAAGAGCAAATCAATCTCTTTTTGTAAAAACACAAGCAGGACAGAGAATCACTTCTTGTTTTAAAAGAGAAATCAGAATTGAAACTTGCATGCTAAGAGGGCAGTTAGAAACCGTGCTGACCTTTACCTGCTGCTTTAATGTTTAAAGCACAGGAATGATGTGCAACTTCATCAGCACTTCAGTGGCAACGAGGGGAGAAAAAAACCCAACCTTTGCTTCTGTCTGTGACTTTCTGTTCAGGCTTTCTTCATGCCTGTGATGCCAGCAATGCTGCTTCCTTGTCTGATTCCAAGGAGCTGTGAAAGGGGAGGGTGTTTTTGGGGCAAAGAAGAGCATGTGAGGAATCCCAAAAGCCTGAGATGTCCTGTCATGGCAGAAAGGCCTTCCCCTGCTGCAGGTCCTGCTTGGCAAATAAAGAACATCTGCAGAGAAACACTCTCTGGTGTTCTTCTAATCTGCTCAGTTGGGCACTGCAGAGGGGAAGCCTCAGCTGAGAGTCTGGCAAATAAACATCAGCTGAATGATCTTCATTTTATTTGGCTGTGAGATAAATCTGGGAAGTGTCCAGAAAACCAGGGTTTCTCTGTCTCTGGTGCAGTGGAAATGTTCATGGATGGTTTTGTGCTCTTGAAGTGTTGATGCTGTAAAATGCAACATGAAATACTCTTCTGTTATACAGTGACATGAGGCTCTGTGGGTTTAGCAGTAGTGTTTTGAGCTTTATTTTTTCAAGGAACAAAATAATAGTACAAGATCCCTGTTCTAGCTACTGTTGATGGGAAGGTCACTGGGTCAGCTCTTGTTTCTATGTCTGATATCCAGGCCTGAGAGAGTAATTTTCAATTATTATGCCTTCTCCTGTTATCATCTTTGGAAGCCACTGTTTCCTTTTCCCTCCATAGCAAAGACAATATAGGGCAAGGACAAAAGCAAGGATGCTGGGCTGGTGGGAAACAGGGAGCATTTGGACACTGATGCCCAAACATGAACATTAAGACAAGTTGGGGTGCAGGAGCTTAACCTAAGCAATCTATCAGAGAAACCTTTGGGATGGGCTGGCTGCTGGAAAAATGAGTTGCTGCAGGTAGGCTGTGTAGTGGCACCTCTGGTGTCCCACAAGTTGCCTGCCCTACATACCCTGACCTATATAGTAAAAGCTGAACCAGGTTTTGCACAGAACACACTTTTCCCTATCATTTGGGAAAACAGATTCTTCACTGAGTTCTGTTTGTCTGGAAAACCTGAATTGTTTGTGTTCTGTGGCTTCCTGGAGCTGAGCTCCTGACCCTCAGCAGATCCTTTAGGACTTTCCTAGATGGGAATTAACTGAGATATTTTAATATTTTATGTTTACAAATATGTGCTAAAAAATGTGCAGCTCATTCTCAATGACCATCCCCCTGTCCTTTCTCCCACTCTTTTATGTGGAAGCAAAACACTGCTAAAATAGCAAAATCTGTAGGATTTTACTTGGAAGGTGGTTTGGATGTTGTGCTTGGGAATAACACCTTTAGACTTGTGTTTTTCCTGCCATCTTCTAGAAAATTATTCTTACCTCAAAATATGTATTTATTAATAGAAATACTCATCCTGATTAATTTCTAAAATGGAAATAAATGTCATCAGAGTTTCTCCACGTCAGATTATTCACACGGGCATTTTTAAATGTTGCTTTACATATTCATGCTATTTTGGGGGAAATACTATTTTAATTGAGTATGGGTTTGAGGGTTTTTTTTTCTTTTGGGGAGGGCTGTTTTACAGGAATGCTTCAGGATTTTTTTTCTTTTAACCTTTTTAATGTTTAGTTACATAAAAAATGGAGGGAGGAATATATTAAAACAGAAGAGGCAAATCTATAGACTTCTTGAAGGTTTCCCCACAGTCTTATTAGGGACCAGGATTTAATCTCAAACAAGTGATGTGGTTTTTGTCCTACTCTCACAGCTTCTTCTTTATGTTTAAAAACAGATATTGATTCTCCTCTTGGATCTGTATATTCTTCCTTTCTCCTTGTCATATATCACTGAGGGAGGAAGGGAGCAGAATTATTTTGGAGCAGAATTTTAAGATTTTAAAAAAAAAATTTGCATGAACATCAGTAATCTGTTTGGGTTTTTTTTTTCTCTCTGGTATTTCACAGGGAAATATCCCTGGAATGCATTTTTTTCTGAAAAAATAATTTAAACCTAAGTCAAACTTCTTTTGTAGCATCTGTAAGGGATCCAAGGAGCAGATCATTGTCTTAATTCAGCTTAATTTCTTTTTTTTTTCAGTGAATTCACGTACTTATTCTGGATTTGGCATTAGCAGGGTCTGAAGTTGGCCTCTACTTGGGTTTTAAAGGATAATGCAGCCTCAGACCTCTTTCAAAGACTTGTTTCAGGATTAGGGCAGTTTGATTTTACAGTAGGAACTCTTTGGATTTGTTTTATTTGATATACATAGATGGATTTCTGGGACTAACAAACCAAGCTAAGATAAAAATTTCTAGGCAAATTTCAGGAACTTGGAATGTATTTTAACAGCTCCTAGATATGAATGTTCAGCTGCTCATCAGTAATTTTGCAGGACTTAGGATCATAATATCTTTAATTATTTGCTTCTCTATTTAATTCTTTGCTAATCCACTCCTCGTGTGCCATCTTGTGTGTTTGGCTATTTTTTAATTCTGGCTGTATGGCATGGACAGCTCCTGTATAATTTGCTGTCTGTCCTAATCTTCAGACACAATCAGTGTAGTAGGGCACAAAAGGAAATGCTGCCTCATCTTCATTTTCACAATGATAAAGCTTTTTGACCTTCCTAGTATTCAATTTCTGTCTTTTCCCTTAGACTTCTTCAGTGTGAAAGTTATTTTTTTCTGGGAGTGAATTAGGAGGGAGGGGAATCTTGGAATTAAGAGCAACCCTCCATCAAAACCTGTGTAATAAATGCTGAAACAAAAATGGATTAATTGCTTTAAGATAAAATTGGTCTTTGACTGAAAACATGTTTATCATCCAGTGCTTTAGTCACAGAGCATCATTTATTGATGAGAAGTGATGAAAGACAAGGTTAGTCAGTGCAGACTTGATCATGAAATTGCAATTTTATTAATGGACACAGAACCTTATTATTGTTTTCCAGAATAGGAAAAAGAGACAGGATATCTGTGGCTGTGAGTGATGGATAGCTCACTAAGCTTTCATATAATTTGCTTAATTTCAGTAGGATTTGTACAGTGAAATTCAGTGTTTTACAGGTATGTGACCCTCTTAGCTTTGTACTTGGAGAACAATAATAGATTTATTGGCAATTCCTCTTTGGGAAAGGCAAAAACAGTGTATCAAGAATTCCACACAAATGCCAGCAACTTGAAAAAGCATAGGCACTTGTGGCTTTTGAGCTACAAAATAGCATCATCTCTAAGGCCTTAAGTCCCAAAGCATAATATGAAAAAAGGGGATTTGCCTAATGGAAAAAAAATATTGTTCTGCCACAGATTGGACCAGAAGCAAATCATTATTCTCTCTTCTAAAAGAGGAGAAAATTGAGGGACAGCAGCCTTGATCTTATTGAGAAGAAGATTGAAGCGAAAGACAAGGTTGGTTGTTCTCGCTTCAGAAGGGTCTGAAAGCTAAATTGCAAAATCAATTTACTGTGGTTACTGTAACAATTAAACTGACGTGATGAAAAGATGGAGGAGGAGGAGGATGGATCAGAGAATCCACCCCCACAAAATATCTGTGCGTGCAGGTGGCGAGTGTTGGAGCTGCCAAGGGTAGAGCTGCCACGACTAAAGCTGCCTTTCCTCTAATGTGACAGGCGGCCATCTCCTCCCCTTTTCCATCTCCCCCCAAGGTCTGTGCTGCTTTCCCTGCTCAGATTTCCCTCCTCTGGTGATTTTTGGGGGTTTTAACCCCCTAGTTCTGATTTCTGGGTGTCACTCACATAGGGTGAGTGGCACATTCAGGTGTTTCCTTTCTCCATCTCTTTCAATGTCCATGCTGGTTTATCTGCTCAGCTTCCCCTGTTCTGACAATTTTTTGGGTTTTAGCCCCCAGTCCTGTGTTTTTGGGTGTCCCTCAAAGAGATGTCTGTCTCCTCTCATTTTCCATCTCCTCCTGAGGTCCGTGCTGCTTCCCCTGCTCAGATATCTCTCTTGTGATTATTTGTGGAGGTTTTCAACCTAGTTCTGTTTTCTCGGGTATCCCACAAACAGGCAGCTA